GCCCACTGGGGGCCATTGGACACACCCTCACCTCTGGCTGCCCAAGAGGTTCGGGTGCTCCTCCTCCTCCAGTGGTTACCTGGGATGTCTTCGGCCGGAGGCAGTGCTGCTTGCTGTCGAGTACGGCTCCTTGATGTTGAAGTGTTGCCATTGAAGTTGGATGGTGAACGTTGGCACTGAGCGACGAGCGAAGGAGCGACCAGTCGATACGGCGGCGGACGACGAAGTGAGAGAGAAGCCAGAGTCGACGCCGACTCTGCATCCCTAGCGGCTTCCAGAGTGTTCGACCGTAGCCGCTAAGCGCGCCAGGACCGCCGCGCGCCCCATAACGCGACCCTTTAAAAAGAGTCGTACGGAAGTCACGACACATAACTTCTTTGAGAAAAGCTTTCGGAGATGGGAAAGCAAGAATGAGGGAAACTAGGTTGGCTCTCGTTAGCTGAGTTTGAGCGATTTCAAAAACATTCATTTTCAAGAATTTTCTCCGTTGTGATCCTAGCGTGATCCTCGGGGGTCATCCACAAGTCCTATGGCTTTGAACAGCCATAACAAGCTTCATACAGAGCCATTCGTAAAAAGAAAAACTGTGCCAAAGAATCATGAAGCTTTCTACTTTCAGCAAAGCTTTCATTTTATCCCTAGGCCTGCTATTCGAAAAATCCCCCGTTGATCATAGCGTGATCACCGCCTCACGACCCGAAAAATCAACCCCTTCGACGCCATAAAACCTCCAGTTGGCTTAAAGACTTTGGTATGCTTCTAAAACGCATGTTTTCGCCAAGGATAAAAAGGATAAAGGATAAAGTCTTCGCCGTTGATCAATCCCTTTGTGGGATGCGGCACGCATTCTACTTCCATTCAGAAGTGGCTTATTGAATGCGATGTGGCCTATACAATGACTTGCGGTGGCCAGCCGATGTACAAGTCAGTGTTTTATCCTCCCAGACGAATCTGGTACCAATTTACCGTCCCCGGAGGGTAGAAGGCTTGGTTGGCCTGGGCGGGAGTCGACCCGGGATTCGAACCCGGCGCCGCGCGAGTGGTAAGCGCGCCACTTGTCACTACACCCCCTCCGCCTGTCAGTACACCATTTCGCCAAGGATATTAGGAATAAATGGTCATTGGGCGCCAATTGGCATCACCTCTGCAATGCGCCATGCATAGCGCTTTCACGCAGAGCTATTGGGAAGGTGCAACTTCTAGAAAGGGCTTCCTCCGTGCAAATAGATGTGCTGCGATAGGAAGGTTCGGAAGTACTTTCATCTTTTTATCAATTCTCATGACGTCGTTATGGGCGGCCTTCGTATTTCCTTTCATATTCCGTGCCCACTTCTGCGCTGGCAGGTTGCTTCTGTCTTGTGTGGGTCTCTTCAGGGGTTCTTCACATGGATAAGTCTTTCATCATTGAAGCTGAACGACATCTGGGTATCGCTGCACCCTCACTTCAGAAAGGGCCCTGCGCTTACGACCATCTTCCCCCTCCCTCGAGGTCAAATACGACCCCCTGTTGTAATTATCACAACGATGGCGTGCCCTGGTGGTATGACCTCTTGAACACGTGCGTCACATCCGCTCGACTTGCAGCTGCCTGGCGTCTGCGACGTGGGCGCAGGCGCCCAGATATCCTTGATCGCTGGAAACGTCCCTCGCAGTAGTTTGTCCTGCTAAACAAGAACATCGCATCTGTATAAGACCTGCGGGGTTAGGGATGGAGGAAAGAGGGTATACGTGACAGCGCATCTTGCTGTGATTGTCTGCGCATTCCTCTGAGACAGCGACCCTTCTCTGCTAAGGCTGAGCTTGATCTCAAGGGAACACTTCTCCTCTAGCAGAAGGCTTATGTCGCCAGTACGGAAAGCGAAGGTGACATCCGTGATCAGGATGCCAGTTAACACCGTGTATTTACAGCGTTTCATCTATTTTGATACGGCAAATAGAGCTAAATGGGCGACTAGTGGTGCCATATGGCCCAGAGCCATAAAGGGCTGTCATATGCGTGATCACAGCTAAATCGCTCTAGTCAGAGTCTCACAAAAAAATTTTGAAATTGTTGACAGAAAACAAAAACAAACTTATTCCTCAGCCTGACACAGTGGACACCGTATTTCAGATTTCAACCCCGATATTTGGAATGAACAGAGTATTCACCAACATATGGGTGAAGCCCTTCTTGTTAGCAACTCGTAGAAATTAAAAAAAAATTAAAACTAGTTGCCAATGCGATCACCACTTCCCCTCCCCCTCCTCACAAAGTCACTCCCGCACATACAGAAGCCTGTCATCCTAAACGCTAGAAGATTCTTCATAAAACAGCGGGGTAGTTATCCGGGGAGGGGGGACCCGAAAATGACGTGATTTCGGTCCTTTTGAGGGTACGCAGCGCATGCGGCCCCAGCATGCGGTGCCGTGTCAATCAATACGGCGCCACCCGCTCTCGCTCCCTTCGTCGTCCCGCATGTTCGCTCTGTTGGTATCTGTGTGTATGTGGGTTTGTGCCTACCTCTGTGCCTGTTTTATTCTTTAAATGCCTGTGTTGATGTTGTGTAAATGTTAAAATGTTTCTGCGTTCTACAACGATATGGCTGTGTGTAAGAGAATTATGGCACAATTTTCCTCCAGGAAATGTGCGGTTTTTTTTTCCACCTGAGAGGGACGATTTGTGAGTCATCTTGGAACTCAGAAGTTCAAAACTTGTTCCACGACGTGTTTACTTTGTGAGGTATTTTTTATATCATACTGGTAACCGGCCATATCCGTCAGTAACCGACAGATTGCGCATAGGATGTGTGCATATTTTTTCATGGACGTCTAGATTTTCTTTGAACTTGCCAACTTTTTTCATAGCTTACCACCGTAATTTTTGATCCTTCTTCTCAGCGCTGTATGATTACAAGGCTCGACTCTAGCATGGCAGCTTTTAATTTGTCCAACTCGCTCCCATGTAGTGAACATGTTTGAATGGCCATATTGAAAGACTGATGAACTTAGAAAAAGAGATCACAGCAATCAAAACTTCCACTAGTTCAGTAATTTTCGATTCAACTGTAGATATTTTTCGTCGACAATTATAGCTGACGGCATCCTTACAACTCGGTTATTCTCGTAAACTCTAAATTTGAAACCTTTTCAAAAAACTTCCATGACCTCTGGGTAGTTCGTTTGTCATTGAAGTCGTAAAGCATTGGCGAAGTGGCAGACATTAAGCCCTAATAATGCTGCTATACCGCAATAAAAACATCCCTTCATATTGATTGTTGCTTCAGGCTGCGTTCATACTTTCCGTCAGCTTATCCCTCCACGCCAGTGTCCTGTAATGGAGAGAATGGGGAAGTCGGAGGTTAGAAGACTAATGGATTAGGGGTCGTGAAATTGCAGCGTGTGTAACCGCACCGCACAACTGCTGAAGCACAGATTGTGCAATCAAACTTCCCAAAAGAGCCTCAGAACATAGTGTGTAGGGTGGGGTTGCACGCACCGCAATTTCACGACGCCTGGTCCAGTAGTCTGGTTTCCACATCCTCATACCAACAGTACGGTAACTTCAGTAGGCGAACAACCAGACACCGTGTCCCCAAAAGAGCCGTAAATAAATCTGGAGTGCACACCAAACACAGCATCTCACGAGAACAGCGTCAAAGTGCATGGGGAACCTATGTGTTGCGGTTGCTATTGCCTCGTGCATTTTTGAACGTTTTGGGCGAGAAGAATAGTATAGATATCGATCTGGCGTTTTTAGCACCGATCGACACCTACACTATACTTTTCGCTCAAAACGCTAGCATTCCGCTGAGAAGATTCAAAACGCTAGGTCGATAGCTAACTTTCCTTTTCGCCCAAAACGGAAAACCAAATGGGGAACTTTTCGCCTTCCAGATTAGTGAACGAATGTTGTTGCACTATGCACAACTTTTTCTCCTCATTTCAGCACCACTCCTAGAATGCTTACAGAGTCCAACTGCGAGCTTATTCTTGAAGCTGTAAATAGGAGCTGACTATGGATCTCGTACTCTATTTCGTTCAGAAAAACTATGCTTGTCATCATTCCTCGTATCGCACGAAACCAACAGGAAGCAAGCAGGCAGTGGTAACCACGACAAGGAGGCTATACTGTCATCAGAACCATATATAAGGATATTGATGATAAATGCCCTGCTCCTTTCCAAGTTCGAGTAGTGGTTTCAACATAGAGAATTGAAGCCACTACTCGAACATGAAAATGAGCAGGGCATTTATCAGGAATGAATGCTGGACCTGTGAAGGAGAACACATGCAAAACTATTTTGTTCTACCAAGTTCATCAATTTTCGGAAGTCTCGTGACATTTTCATCTGGAAAATGCTTCGACAAGATGTAAGACTCCACTGCAATTCCCATGAGAAATTCTGACCCAAGTGCGGACTATTTTTGATGAGTGCCATTGAAACCCGATTATACAAGTACATTTACAAATAGAAAATGATGTATTGGAGCATCCAACGGGCCTATAGATCTTACGAATACTACTCCAGGCACTCGTTCTAAATACAACCGTTGTAATCATTTGGATCTCTACATCGCAACACACTGGTTTACCATGCAATTTTGACGCTGTTGTCGTGAGATACTGTGTTTGGTGTGCATCCAGATTTATTTACGGCTCATTTGGGGGTACGGTGTCTGGTTATTCGCCTACTGAACTCACCGTACTGTCTCATACCAGGGCACATCGTTGTTGGGGAATCCCCAAGAGGGGTCGTATTTGGCCGCCAGGAGAGGGGGTCGTATTTGGGCTGAGGAAAATTTATTTTGATAGTTGATTTTTCTCGCTTCACGGACGTTGTAAAGGGGGGGGGTCGTACTTGCTCATTGTTATGAATATCTATGTGAGCAATCCTCATGCTATTTTTCTCGCTGCTGATTCACCGGAACTAGTTATTTGTTGTGTTTCGTAACACACCCATTGCAGAGACGCTTTTTGGGTATTCGATTAATAGAAATCTTGTCAGTCCCGAGTCTCTGAGATGTCCGGCGAAGGAGAAATCAATCTTGACAACCTGATCACCAGGTTACTTGAGGGTGAGTGAGTTCAGTTCGACGTTTTCATGTTGTGGTACATTGGCTTTTGCAGTATAACCAGAGTATCTGCTAAAATGCCGCACCGTGGAAATTTTTTTGAGGCTCCTTTTCACTTTATCATTATTATCAAAAGTGAATCAGGAATGAACATGCTCTAGCTTCAAGGAGACCTTTGCTTCGCTTATGCGCTTCAGGGTCTTAACGCGCGTACTCGCTGCCCTTTCGGCTTCGCATGCATACATTCCTATAACCTTGACGTCTGGACACAAACCCAAAGACGCATTCGTTTCTGAGGACGAGCAGTGCATTTCAACCAGAATGTTAGTTCGCTCAACAGACATACACTTGGGCGTCTTCTTGTTCTTCTTCGGGCAAGCTTTGGCTTAGGCTTTAAGCCTCTTTGCAGGCACCTCGAGCTGGAGGCCATTCTCGCAGACGGTGTGAACCCTCGCGCGAAGTAAATTAAAAGCTGGCTTCGGGTATTTCATGAGCATGTGATCACAGAGATACAGGAGCTGCGCTGGCTTGCTTTTGAGTGACAGTTAACAATTCACTCCAAATGCGAGTGCGTTCTATTTCGCGAGGCGGCACTGAGCACCGCAATCAGGGCACGCCGTTTGTGGAAATCAACGGGGAGGGAGGTCGCATTTACCGCCAAGGAGGGGAATCGTAAGTACACGGCTCCTTCTGTAGCGGGAAGAGCCGCAGTAGTGAGATGTCGTACAATCACTGATTGATAGAAGATTTATTCATGGTTCTTGTTGTGAATAACACCTGAAGAGAAAGGCAAGTTGCAGGTTCAGAAGTGGGGAATGGGTGGTGACAATTAGCACGGTAGCCGCCCACGACGCCGTATGAATTAATAAACAAGCAAAACACGTTTGGACCTTTCTGAGCTATAGTGTGCACCTGTTTGCAGATGTGCACCTGGTATAGCCTAGAAGTCACACCTCTTCAACACTTCTGCACGGCTGTCGGTTGCATGGCGCAATGCAAAGGGAATATCATTCAGCGCCGAATGAAATAATTTCGAGGAAAGATGTGTTCTAGAGGCGGACTCAAGTCTTCAAAAATCTGGGAACAGTACTGCGCCGGATGTGTGGATTTTTTCGCGCCGTCCGAATCTTGTCACAACAAAACCACAGCTGGGAATTTTCTCGAATAGTTAGCATGAGAAAAAAAATGAAAGCTTCTCAGAAAGTGAAGGTCTTCTGGATTTAGGCACTGTATTTGGTTTCTTGATCACATCTGGAGAATGTTGCGACTGTTCAGATCAAGAGAACTCGTAGGTGATACTAAAATGTCGGAACGAATGCGCTTGAAGGGGTATTGCACGATAATTTGGTACTCGGTCTAAATTTTAGCAGGGTGCTACATAGCGGGGGAAAATGGCGAAAAAACGAAGTGAAACGGTCAAAAACCTGCGAAGAAAAGCCTTCGTTCTCAATGACTCAAAAAGCAATTTTGGACGAGTTTCCCATAGGCATCTTGCATAGTAGTCAACTTAAGATGCTACTCGCTGGTCGCGGTGGTTGATTATGATGCTCTAGCGCCGAAACCGCGCCGCGACCGCGCGCTCGCAAAGGCCGGATGCTCAAGTGCGAGTCTGTAGTTTACCGTCACCCGCTCGTTCAGACTTCTCGATGACGCGGGTAGACGCTCTGAGGGGTGACGGTAAACTACAGACTCGCACTTGAGCATCCGGCCTTTGCGAGCGCGCGGTCGCGGCGCGGTTTCGGCGCTAGAGCATCATAATCAACCACCGCGACCAGCGAGTAGCATCTTAAGTTGACTACTATGAACTCAACATGGGAATATCACCACACTATACTCACAAAAGCATCGAATCTTGTACAATAATGTTTATGATGTGGCGTCTCCCACTAAATTTCCGTTGAACTGGAGGTAAAGTCGAGTAAGGAGGAACAAACGTCTCCTTATCATGTTTAGGCGCCTCGCCCATCAATATGGGGACATTTCCTCTAAAGTGTACCCGCTTCCTTAACTTTAAGCATTCTGCGCTCGAAATGGCTTCTTCAAGAGAGCAGTTGGAAACAGCTTCTGTACACTTCATCAATGTCGTAGCAATTCAATCAATTTTGCACGTTCATTTTGCGGGTCCTGCAATTACATGCCTTATTAGAATGTGGCATTTTGTGAGTTATACAGTGCTCCTTCAGCAATGCGAAGCAAACGGCACCTTTATACGCAACGCTTCTCACAGAGTACCCTATCTGGGGAAACGGCGACAGGGAAATGGATCTGGTTGTTTCAAATAATTCCCGGTTGTATCAGTGGAACCGTTCTGGTGAAGCACTGTGGCCAGCTTTTGGATGTGACCCATCAAGTTGGTTGAGTACGGCGAGACTTTCTACATTCCTTACAGTGATTGACATCTGAAAAAAAGATTACACACAATGGAGACCAAAAGGGTTTTCGCTCTTGAATGGGTGATGTATACATTATAACAACGAGCACTGTGCAAGTCATGTAAAGCGATTCAAATTGAAACATCTGTTTTGCTTCCTTTGAGCTTCGTCAGGTGCGCGCCTGATCTTCGATTATGCAAAATACGACCGCTTTCATACTTCGCGGTTGTGCGACCGTATGAGCGCGCGCAGCATCTTCAGGGTAATCGTGCCGGGACCCACGCCGGATGCTCAAGTGCGAGTCTGTAGTTTACCTTACGTCCAGCTTAATAGGGCAACTTCCCTAGAAAAGCGCAGCGCCTGGCGCGGGCCGCTAAGCGTATTAATCCTACTCGTCTTGGGTATTTACCGTGCTATTTGCCTTTAGGCACAGTCACTAAACGACAAACCTAGACCTTCGCAATGCGTTAGAAGATATATTCTCAAGAAGCTGCAAGTATGTAAAAAAGAAGTGCATCTGGAGTGTTTGGCCTGCTTCGCAATACACACTGCTAAATAGCACGCCCAAGTAAGGCTGCGTTCATACCGTGCGACGTAGTCGTCAACGTCGACGTAACCGACGTTTTCGACGACTAGTTCGCGAAGATTATATACGTATCGATCCGACGTAACGGACGAAACCGACGTAAGCGACGTAACCGACGTTTTCGACGTCAGTCGATACGTATCTAATCTTCTGTCGTCGGTTACGTCGGTTACGTCGCTTCGTCGGTTTCGTCCGTTACGTCGGATCGATACGTATATAATCTTCGCGAACTAGTCGTCGGTTACGTCGGTTACGTCGACGTTGACGACGCCGTCGCACGGCATGAACGCAGCCTGAATAGCAGGGATTTCTAAAATTCAAGCATCATGTCTGCTACCATCTGCTTTTTTTAGTGAGCGGGGCGGGGGTCGTAGCGAGACCCACTCTCGGAAAGGAGGCCGTATTGGGCAGTAATTTATTACAACAAGATGGCGTGCACCGACCGCGATGCACCTGACTGTCGTATATGGTTTCAGTAGAAAGGTAATCTGAGGCATTTACTCGAGCGTATGATGAAGCTGACTAGTTTTCGAACGGAGCTATCAATGCCGCAATTGTGATTCGCCTGCGATCATACCTTTTGCCACGTATGGCAAAAAACTGCGGTTCTGGGTACTAGCTTATGACCAAGGCAAGATTGTAGCAATATTAACACCGTGTTATACATAACATTATTTGCATATAATCGGTGTAGTTTTCAGTTCGTGGATGTCGTCCGGGAAAAACGGTAACTATGACCGAGGCGGAAATTCGTGCACTATGCCATAAATCTCGTGAAATTTTCCTATCTCAACCGATTCTTCTGGAGTTGGAAGCACCGTTGAAGATTTGCGGTACTTTTCTTTTTCTTTTGGTCTCTGTTTTGGGTAGGGTAAGAGCTGTTCATCAGATTTTTGTGCCTGCTTTTTGAGTGGTTGCCTGCCATCTCAACAGGAAAGGTCAACAGGTCGCCATGGCCATTCAGGATGGGATGCATATTGGCGTGTGCGTCTCGGGACACTGAACTCAAATCTGCTTTCAGAATTTGCGGAACGATTCTCTAGGAAGGAGTTATGGGGGGTCCAACACAGTACCCGCCGAATACTCTGTGCTAGCTCAAGTTGACTTCGAAAGTCCGCAGTGGTGAGCGATCGATGGTGTAGGAGATACGTAGATATACAGGGGGGGGGGCAAAAAAAAGTCATTTTGCCTCCATGACTTTCAAGGCGCTATAAGTTACACTTTATTAAATTTTTATCGGACATTTTTACTACCATATTAAAGAGCACATTAAATACTATAATGATACTCCGCCACAGCCTTCTGGAGGAGCGCCATCGAGAGATTCGGCCGCGCGAAAGTGAGTGGGTACCGGAGTTGAGCGAGATCGTTGATTTCTCCGCCACTGTAGACCACCCTGTTGAGCTCCGCCCGAACTAGGTAATTGAGTGGGTTCAGGGGACATATTTCAATATTACATCTTCATCAGGTACGAAACGCCCTTCCATTCGAAGTAGGCGGGAGTTTTTCCAAAACCCTTCGATTCCATGTGGTGGCACCCAAACCTGTAGCAGCACAAGGTCTCCAAGAAGGTACGGGCGACCACATGTAGGGAGGATATCCTTCTCGAGTTACTTGATGTAACCGCCAGCGCTCACCTTCAGTCGGGGTCTACAAAGAAAATATCGGTCTTCCCATTCCAGGTACGGCCGGTCCACACCATCAACCCGCGCCTTGGTGAATGGGGTGAAGATGATGTCCTGGACCGTAGCGACGTTGCCGGAGCTGCTCGATGTTGGAGGTCTTGCAGATCAAGAGTACTGGACCTCCAGGTAGCTATCTGTGGATGACTTCATTCAAGAAGTTTCGCAGCTGTTTGGAGGCGACGTGAATTCCAAAGGTGTTCTCCACTCAGGCCGCGACTGGAGATGACTTCATATTTTGGTGTACATGAAGGTGAATGGCGGCAGGCTCCTGCTTATAGAGGAAGATCTTGGGTATCTTCCGCCCTGGTACTCATATCCACTTCCTCTGTCTGGGCTGCGAAAACTTCGCTCATATGTGACTCGGCCGGAATGACTTTTTTTTTGCCCCCCCCCCCCCTGTAGATATGTTGCTTCACAGTTGCGAGGTCAGGGGTTCGATTCCTTGGCATGTTCGGGTTTTTGCTTTTTTCCGAAATATATTCTGTGAGTCCAGAAAGAAGGTCTAATCCGTTATATCTCGTATCTGCTCACATCTCAAATTGCAGCTATTCAGTGCACATGTGATTTTTGCCCGTTTTTCTACAATGGATAAATAGTTTAGTCACTCCAAATTAACATTTTAATACGAACCGAATGGGGTGTTCTCCCCCAAAGGACATTTTCAAACTTCTATCTTGATATTCCACGTGGATAAAATTCATTTTATGAGTAAACCAGTCGGATCGCACGGCTGACGCCGTGCTCTCCTCCTTCTCTTGAGCTCGGCTTCGCCGAGCTGGCCTGGCTTCGCCAGGCGGCTCCATAATTTTAACGGAACTTTTCGGTAGTGCACTGCTCATAAGGCACTGTAGTGACCGAATTGCTAACATAGACAGAGGCACAAGGCTTTAGGATCCCGGCCAATTAGAGCTTCAGCACGCGCTGTTCTATTTACAGGCAGCGGTGATAGTCGCTGCGCCGATGACGCCCGCCCATTACGAATTACGATAACTCGCTGAGATTAGATAAAACGGAGTGTAGTCGGCGCAAGTAAGGGCAGTATTGAATCGCCCCAGTAAAAGAGTCAGTAACTTTGTTTCAATTACCGTAGCCAAAATGCCCTTGTGGATGTATGTTCCACCTTATCAATGTAGCATAGCAATCCGGCTCCGTGTTCTTCTCGGTCTCTCTCGAGATTTCCCTCAGATTCCGTGTTCATCGATGCGAACTACATACCCCCCCCCCCCCGCACCTACCCTCCCCCTCATGCTCGACAATCGCATTATACTTAGTGGGATGAGTTCATTTTCTAGGGCAGTCAGGGAAGTGATGGCTAAAGGAAAAGTATGCACACTGAGCCTTTGATACTTGGGGTATAGTGATAAGAGAGGTAATGATAATGGCCCCTTATCCTTTCTTATCAATTGATAAGATCCTGTCGCCCGTCATCAATGTCCCTATCACTAAAACTCTGTAATTTGGTAGTGTAAAGGCTCCAGCAATTTGACTGAACCTTATCCTTATCAGCCCCTATCAGCTGTTATCACCTCACGTGTCGTGTCCCCATCTCCAACTCTATATCATTTTCTGAAATTAATGCCTAGGTGATGCTGTGTTCCGCGTTATGAGTATGGTGACCTTACCATTCTAACTCCCCTTATCGAATCTTATCAGGTGCTATCATTCCCTGTCACCCATCAATAATGTTCCTGTCCCACGTCCTATACCATACCTTGGAACCAATGTCCCACTGTTACTGTGTCCCGCACTATGGGCTCGGTCACCCTCTCCTTCTAAGGCCCCTTATCGAATCTTATCAGCTGCTATCATTCCCTGTCACCCATCAATAAGGTTCCTGTCCCACGTCCTATATCATACCTTGGAACCAATGTCCCACTGTTACGAGTGGTCCCGCCACTCTAATGGGCTCGGTCACCCTCCCTTTCTAAGGCCCCTTATCGAATCTTATCAGGTGCTATCACATTCTATCACCCACCAAAAGTGTTCCCGTCCTGCCATGTATATCACTTCTTGGAACTGTCGCCCTATCTTTCCTACGACGCTCGCTATGAATTTCGTGACAGACAGACGGACGCACACACACACACACACACGCGCGTAGTACACACACACACACACTTACAGACATACTTAGCGGATTATATATAGTAGGATAGTAGGATAGTGGGATGAGTTCATTTTCTAGGGCAGTCAGGGAAGTGATGGCTAAAGGAAAAGTATGCACAATGAGCCTTTGATACTTGGGGTATAGTGATAAGAGAGGTAATGATAATGGCCCCTTATCCTTTCTTATCAATTGATAAGATCCTGTCGCCCGTCATCAATGTCCCTATCACTAAAACTCTGTAATTTGGTAGTGTAAAGGCTCCAGCAATTTGACTGAACCTTATCCTTATCAGCCCCTATCAGCTGTTATCACCTCACGTGTCGTGTCCCCATCTCCAACTCTATATCATTTTCTGAAATTAATGCCTAGGTGATGCTGTGTTCCGCGTTATGAGTATGGTGACCTTACCATTCTAACTCCCCTTATCGAATCTTATCAGGTGCTATCATTCCCTGTCACCCATCAATAATGTTCCTGTCCCACGTCCTATACCATACCTTTGAACCAATGTCCCACTGTTACTGTGTCCCGCACTATGGAGCTCGGTCACCCTCCCCTTCTAAGGCTCCCTTATCGAATCTATCACGCTGCTATCATTCCCTGTCACCCATCAATAAGGTTCCTGTCCCACGTCCTATATCATACCTTGGAACCAATGTCCCACTGTTACTGTGTCCCGCACTATGAGCTCGGTCACCCTCCCTTTCTAAGGCCCCTTATCGAATCTTATCAGGTGCTATCACATTCTATCACCCACCAAAAGTGTTCCCGTCCTGCCATGTATATCACTTCTTGGAACTGTCGCCCTATCTTTCCTACGACGCTCGCTATGAATTTCGTGACAGACAGACGGACGCACACACACACACACACACAAACACACACCATCAACACTTACAGACATACTTAGCCGATTAATATTATAGTAGGATCTCAAGGCTGGACTAGGTAAATTATTTCTGCGTTACCTATTACGCAGTCAATACCTGTGATAGGTTGCTTTGTGACAGAGCTTTTGTTAAAGACCCATCCAACAACCTTGAATCAACTGCCGCTTTGTCACCTGGACAAAGCGTGTAAAATTGTCAGCATAGCCATCAAGGGTGCTTGCACTCAGGTGGCTTGATCGCACGGCCTTTGAAAATTTACATTCCTGCTGTCTAAGTGGATCTATAAACCTTTCACTCCCTACGTAGTACATCCCCATAACAATTTCTCCATACGCAGCCGGGACTCTATTTTTCTTCTCTCTCTAGTTTATTTTCAACTTTGCTCTCCTCGATTTAGGAACTTTTTCTCCTGCTCCTGTATGTAGCGGGATTCTTTGATGCAAGTCCTGTGAACTTCATATCACCTGTTCATTATTGATTCTCTTCTGAATTGATGTGACTACACCAGTTAACACGTTGGCGACATTGCGTCCCACTGCTAGGACGCACCTTTTTTGCCTGCTGGGTGTTGCGGCATGGGTAAAAAACCAATTTGAAGACGTTTCGAATTTTCAACAGCTGCATATTGTCCATGAAGGCATTGTAGAATATACAGTAGCTGTAAACCGTGCAGTTGTGTCATTGAGAGTATTTTACCGAGGAGACAAACGAAAGTGATTTCCTAGGAAAAAAAATAATTCTTGGATATATAGAACTGAAGCTCCACATGCAGATAGCTAATGTGATAAGGTAACTTTCAACAATAGCAGATCTGAATCGAATCCAATTTACCACCTCTGGCGCGAAAATATTCCTTTTTTGCGACCTTGTTCCCACGCTCCACGTGAATGAGGCGGGAGTATTCCATGAAATTTCAGGGTTTATCTTGAAAGTAAACAAGAATAGCGAAGCCTTACTAGCTTCTGCAATGAATTCTGACCATTCTTCAATTTTTTGGCGTATAAACGCCCTAGCATTTATGCGCATTCTTCGAAAATAGGGAAAAACTGCTTTGTCCACGCGGCAGACACGCGAAAAGGCGCCTTGTCGCCAATGTGTTAAACAGAGCTTTTCATCATTCATTGCGCTTGTTGTGAGAGGTTGTGTTGGTTCAACCAATTTTGTGAACGAACAACACCACATGTGCTCTTGAACAGTTGCAATTTGACTCGTTCATGTACCATCTAAAAACCAGCTAATTTTTCAAGAGTCTCGAAATTGAAGCACAACAGACGAAGTGCCGGTATTTGACTCTATCCCTTCCGCAAATGTTTATTTATTCTTTTACTAGCACTTACGTGCACCATCGACGGCAAAAAAGAATATTAAGAGCATACAAAGGCAAATGTGAGCAGACATGAGATATAACGGATTAGACCTTCTTTCTGGACTCACAGAATATATTTCGGAAAAAAAGCAAAAACCCGAACATGCCAAGGAATCGAACCCCTGACCTCGCAACTGTGAAGCAACTTACCTTACCTATCCCCTACACCATCGACCGCTTATCACTGCGGACTTTCGAACTCAACTTGAGCTAGCACAAAGAGTATCGGCGGGTACTGTGTTGGACCCCCCCTAACTCCTTCTAGAGAATCGTTCCGCAAATTCTGAAAGCAGATTTGAGTTCAGTGTCCCGAGACGCACACGCCAATATGCATCCATCCTGAATGGCCATGGCGACCTGTTGACCTTTCCTGGTCAGCTCAAATGCTCCA